GCCTGCATTAAGATGTGAGCCGGCTAGAATTATCAAATGTTTCTTACCATAATTGGTAATTTTTATCGGAATAAAATTGGAATTTTTCCCGTTATTGTGATAAAAATTTGTGATTTGATATCGGAATAATTCCGGGTCTCTGATATAATCTCAAATCTTATCACGTGATAATCATGTGACTTAAACCAGCCAATCAAATTTTAAAATGATCTACTCAAAATTAGCCAATCAGACGAACTTCTTCCTATGAATGTAAATATGATTCTCTGGAAAGATTTCTCGCAAATTCGTAAATAACTTTTTCAACCTTGCGACCACTTTTTAATGTCCACATCTGATTGGAGTCCAATTCTAGGTATGCTTCAAATTTTTCCAGGTTCATAGGTACCGTTTCATCTGTTGACTTTTCTTGCTCAGCGTCAGTGAAAGAGTAATCGCTAGAGGAGGTTTCGTGATCATCATAGACCACATCAATAGTTGGAGTTTTGCAACTTGATTTCATCTAAATCATGAGACGGAAAGGTAAACATGGCAATAAGTTATTTGTAATTAATAAGCTTATAAGACTTAATACCTTCTTGTTTGAATCCAGTATATGTGATGATGAAGGACGTTTGCCGAGACGTTCCTATAAACAGATTTACAAAATGAAAACAATATAAAACAATTTTTCAACATTCGTAACATGTATAATAAGCGATTAATGCAATGTACTACAAAGATTAATTCGTAACTAACCTGAATATTAGTTTGGAGAGAATCACTAGCTACATCATGCTCTATAACGATATTTGACTTCACACGGAAAACATGCTGTTCCTGTATCAGAAGTTTTTATACTGAATAGTCATATTAAAACACATATACACAATTTTTATACTCACTATACCCACCTCTTTTTCACTATAAATTGCTTTCATCGTCCGAGTTATTTCACGCTCTTCATTTGTTTGAACTGCGTTCCAATACCGTTCCACGTTTAAGCTTCGCGTCATTATATCAAAATCATGAAGCCACTGTTGCGCCTTCGATGATAATTTATCATTTTCCGATGAGACACTTTGTAGTGCTTGTCTCAGATTCACTTCTGCTAAATCACGCTGAAAAAGACGGATATTCAAAGATTTTAAAGAATTTAACCATCTTCGCCAGACAATCTTCAAAGCTTCGATATGTTCAGCCTTATAACATAAAGTGGAGTGATTATTGTTTTGCATTTCAAAAAAAAAAATAAAGTGCATACCATATTTACTGTATATATACTTGCGAAATGTAGAGTATATCTAAGAGTGATCGAGTGATCGACTGACAGATACAGTACAATATATCGACCAATAATTGGTTACAAATTGTAACACGCACGTGATTATTAATTACCAATATATCAGGCTCTGCTTTTTCCGACAAATTTCAAGTTGAAAATTTTATTGCCAACATTTCGGGGGCCTGTAAAGCCTTGCGTGGTTACGACCGCCATGGTGTTGTCAACGGATAATTATTTTGCTTTCTTGTTGATTTTTCAGATATACAGTATAGATAACATTGATGCTATCAAAGAGGGAGGGAGTACGCGGATCCTAGGCCATTTAATGCGAGTCCCAGCACCACATTATTTCTTTGCTATCAGAATAATTTCTACAGATAATTTGTTTCTACATCTGTTACTAACTACAAGATTCTCAGCCACACTCCTTTATTACACTAGATTTCCGTATGTAATCCCACCCATATCTACGCTTATGCATATCACTCCCACCCACACAGACTACGTAAAAGATTATTTTCCGCAAGAGAACTCTTCCGAGTTGGAAAAATTTCGATTCTAAATCATAAATTCCGGAGATTAGCAACTGAGGTAAAAAATAAGCAATAATTCCAATTCACACTTACCACTACGATTCGTTTTCATAGCATTCCGCCTCATATTCAAGAAATTTGTTGCTTAATGTGTTAGGATATTTCGATTTTTTTATCGCAAGAGTGATTCTGCGCCAAACATCAAGAATTCGGCACGTGAAAACGCTTATATAAGAATTTCGATTATGCCTGTGCTGTTGCATGTGACGGGATTCATTTCACTGCGCCTATTATACGCGTGATGATAGTCAAAGATTTTCTTGGCTAAGATCAAAATGATGATATATAACAAGAGTAATATGTCCGATTTGTTTTGAGACATCTGTAGAGGCAGGAAAATCGATTAACATTATAATGACATGTTTCAAGAAGCTAGCCAAATGATAAACCAACCCTACCTTATTATTACTTTGCGAAATATACGAGTTTATTTGATTATAAATATCGATAATGCAAAAATGGTAAGATAGATTGGTTTGATTAGTTTCGTCCTATTTTTGCTTTTCTTATGCAAGGCAGATAAAAGATTTCACTAGCCAGGACATCACCTTTTTAATACAATTTGCAGGATCGATCTTGAGATACACTTTGGGGAAAAATTACGTTAATATTATCGCATCACGAAAATCTGATCAACGGCATCCCCTTAATTTAACAATAAAAAATTTAAAGCTATCTATATAAAGATAATCAAGGGGGCTATACATAATTTTTGAGAATGTGTGAGAAAGTTTGAGAATAAATTATTTTGCACAATTTACTTGTTCCCGTACAATATTACTGCGCATTTATTTATCAAGCTACAATAAACTTAATCTAGTACAAACTTGTTTCTCACAATTCCACAACCATCCCATGCAAAAAAATTATAAAATGTCTGGTGAATTTGCGCCATTGCTTTATTGATCAAATTATCTGAGGACATTCACATCGCTTATATATTCCTTCCGCCACCTTCTTACACCTTTTGAAATACAGATGTGAGTGATGATACATCCATGCTTCCATTCCCTAAATATATGCCATTTTTCAAAATAGAGACCCTCCCTTGATCTGTCAATCTGCGGGAGATGATTTACCCTAATAGCTTTTCCTGATAGCATATCCCATTAGTTTTTCTTTTTTTCAAATGTATATGAGAAAAAAATAAAGTCAAAAATTTTCATGTACAGTATAATTAATAAGCAAGAAAATAAGGATTGAATGCGTTACCTGCCATGTCATATAATAATCGTGAAGACTCTTTACACTTCCAACCAATAGATGCAGGATTTATCAGCTAATAAAGAGTGAATTTACCGATGTACAGTATCATCAATTAATCTGCAGAGTGAGAAAGATAACTTACAAAAAAATCTATCTGATAATTTTAACCAACTATGAATACTGTGCATTTCAGGTGATCAGCCAACATGATCGATCTATACTACAATCGCAATTTTGAGTTTATTGCTTGAAGTGTTGCAGGTAAAACAATAATTCCAACTTATCTGGAGAATAGAACTTCACTAATTTAGGATCATAAGGGAACTGATTCCTATTTTCACAGTACCATGAGCTATGTAATCCATAATTCCCATGTTTTTCATCACAAATAAGGCATAGTGAGCTCCACAGCTGAGGTGATGTAAAATCATAATTATCAATCTCTCTGAAACTATTTCTGAATTTCAAGTATAGAAAGTGCTTTAAAACAGACTTGATAATTAATTTTGGATCAGGTCTAACTTCAAAAGTGATGGGCCCTTTGTCTTGATATTGCTCACCAAAGGAGGGAAAAGATAAATCGGAAACTTTGTTTTCTGGTGAATTTATGACTTCCAATTTATGTATTTCTGATAGTTGCTATGGCTCATTTCCAGTCTCTTTTTTTATATCTTTTGTATAATTTGGAACGAATCTTATCTGTCAAAATACTTGGTAACCCAGTTAATTTGGCATGCCAATCCAGATAATTGGCGGTTAGTATTTTAACAAACTCAGTCATTTTTCTTTTATATGACTGCAAACAATTTAAATCTCTTTTTTCTTATATAGACCTATTTATTCAAAAAAAAAGATTAAAATTTTCAGACTATTGTGAAGCAATAAGACTATACAACTACAGATCTCCGCCAAAAGTCTCTGAACGCTTTTTGGCTTAATGTAAAACTTAAAATTTTAAAGTTTATTAATTTATTTATTAATTTACGATACGCTACACATTTGGTACTAAATAATTAGTTACTTGATCAGGCCTTTATTTGCTTCATCACAGCCTGAATTCGCTGCGAATCTTTAATTAAGGATGTTGACCAGAACGAAGTCTCGAATAACAGTTCCGGTATCATCCATTCTTTTTAAAGTTTTAAATACTATTAAAATCTACAACTGATATTTGCGACAATAAGCTGGTAACTATCGCCATATTGACAGCAAAATTTATACCACTGCGTTATTCTTTGAACTTTTTCGTAGTTTTCAGAAGGTAAAATTTTATTTTGGTTAAAAATCAAAATAAACAAAGCAAACATGCTTTTATTTAGTTTTGATTCAAGCAAACAAAGTCAGGTACATTACATGATCACAGTATTATACAGTCCTATGATGTATTCAGTATGAAATAGCCAAAAGATAACGTTCAGAGACTTTTAGCGGGAATCTGTATCTCAATTTCACGTTGTTCACATTTAATAAAGTAAGATCCAGCTTTATACCTACCTTCTATTTCTTCATTATCATGACCTAATTTGCATAATTAGCAGATATAGTTCCCACATGATGTCTCATCAATCATTCTATAATAATCAAAATTTTCACTACTACCTTCTCTATATAGATTAGAATATTGATCTAATATTTGTTGCGAAAATAGGTGCGATCATAAGTTGACTTAAATTGGACTCGTTCATTAGTCTGATTGGTTTTTGATGTAAGTGAAATACTTATCCCGACATCTAGTGATTTTTTTGATTCAGATTCAACTGGCAGATCACGTGTACGTAAACAACTGATCAATTTTTGAGATTTGATTAGTTCATTAGTATAAAGATTTATTATATTCTGGATTATGTATTAGTTAGTCTAAAGATTGCATCAGCACTAGATGTAACCACTTTAATTTTATCTATTCCTATTCCTTTAAATAAAGTATAGATATTTTTAGTCTTTTGTGTCATCTTACGCAAATACTCTCTCTTTTTACTGGAAAGATACAGCTTTATTTCATCATAAATCTGTGTTCTTACCATTTGATCTCTAATATTATTTTCAGATCTAAGGGTTATAACCTTTTTTCATATTCCTTGCTATAGTAATACCATTGTAATTTTTTTTTCTGACCAGTTTTTTTAGCCTTGTCGAATAAATGAGCTTAATGAGATACAGAACCTGAAGTTAGATCAGTGGATCCCAGAGGGATTACGTCAAATAAAACATGTTTTGCTAGATATAGAATTCAGTAAGAATATAGAATTATGACATCTAATAAATTCAAGTAATTCACATATTAAATCTTATTCTACTTTCTGATTATAGGGGATTTTATTACCTTAATCTCTGATAAATTAACCTATTTCTTTTCACTATGAAGCGATTCAAAAGTAGTTGAGGATGAGTCCTAGAAAAACATATACGATTGGCTAAGTTTCTTTTCCTGATTTCTCTGTCTAATCTTATTACTAACCTTTTCTTATGCATCTTATCCAAAAAAGCATCTGTTTCTCTATCATCCTCCAATGATTTTCTGTTAAAACACTTCACAGATTCAGTAGTAACATACTGGTGTGCAATAGGTAATACAATCAACTCTTATTATAACGAACTCTATGTCCTAAACCTCAACTGCTATAAGGCTATAGTGAAGATTTTAAGAGATTTTATTGGCTAATTCGCTATAATAAGAGCATTTTTTTTATATTTGTTCAAAAATTCGTTATATTAAGAGTTCGCTATATCAAGAGTTGACTGTATATTAATTTGATCTGCTGAAAATACTAAAGGAAAAGATATTGAATTAATTGGAGACTTTAGTACAGATGTTTTTCTTTGTGCTGAAATATTAACAGCATTTTGTTTCTGTTTGATTTTCCTAATATCATCATCTAATTTAGCAATAAAGGTGATCTTTTTTTTATCTTTCTGTTCTAAGTTTGTGAATCTAACTTCGTGTTCTTCTAAAACATGCTTTAACTTCACATTCACAGCCTTGATTTCAGCATTCTCCTTTCTAAGTTCTGTAACTTCGGCTAAGAGCTTCAAATTTATCTCTCTTAACGAATTGATTTCAGATTGCATGTTTGATAATATTTTTTTATACAAGATGAAATAATTCAAAAGTTTGAGTTAGTATAAAAATCATGTGTACATGAACAATTATTCA